AGTGTATTTATTGATTGTAGATCCAAGTAAGATGAAATTGTTGACAGCCTCAATATTTTCTCCATCTATTGTGTTGTTGCCTATTTGTCCAGGGGCTAAGATTTTGTTTTCTTGACATTGAGATGCATTCTGTATTGAAAGATTCAGTCTTTGATCTTCTGCAGCAAGAGAGTCAAGTCCTCATCTTCAGCAAGCAAAGTTGTGTCATCTGCATAATGAAGGTTATTGATGAGTGTTCCTTCAATCCTGATGCTACATTCTTTTTATAGGCTCCAGCACCTTGAATAATCTTCTCAACATTAAAATTAAATAGGTATGGTGAAAGAATTCAAACCTGATGCACAGCTTTCCCAATTTTAAACCATGCAGTGTTCTCTGTTTGCACAATAGCCTCTTGATATAAGTATAGATTTCACACAGACTCAATTAAGTGTTCTGGAATTCCCATCCTTCCTAATGTTAACCATAGTATGTTTTTAGGAGAGGCTGTTTCTTGGAAAGGAGCATCATGCTTGACTAGGTGGAGGGTTGGCAAAAGAGATGAAAATTCTCAATCATCTAAATGGACACAGTGACTGTTGCAATGGGCTCAAGTGTATCAGGCTTGATAAGGATGGCACAGGATAGGACATGGTTCAGATCTGTTGTTCAGAATGTTGTTATGAGTTGTGTTTGACTCAACATCACCTAACAACAACATGTGCTCACTAGGGAGCACTACAGGAGAAATATGCTAAGCAGACTGTACACATATTGTGTGGGTGTGTTATTTACAAACAAGTAACATTTAATCCTGGAATATTATTTACACATTATGTTATAAAAAATGCCGTACCTTATCTATAGCCTAGTTTAAGTACCCTAAAGGAAAAGGTTAGATTACTTGTTTACCTTTCTTTAAACATTTATTATTTTTTTCATTATTGCACATTTTCTTTCCCCCTTTTCCTTCAATCCAACCCACAATGCACCCCTTGTTCCAGATTGTTGTCATACATATAATGCCTAATCATATATTCCCTTTAGGAAACTTTTCTCCTCATCAGTTACCAGCTAAGTCATTAACCAGGCACGAGAGTTTATATAAAGGACACAAATTAATACTCTTCTTCATATTCTGTACAGAGTATCTGGGTAATACACGGCTGTAGAAGTAATTGAAATGTAAAGCTAAATGATCACTGTACTTTCATGACCAATGAATGATTCTTAGATTGCTATTTCTTCAAGGAATCATAATTTCTATTTCTTTTTCTTTGAAACAGGTTTCCATGAATGAAAACAATGGATGTTGCCAATAAATCAATGGTGTCAGAATTTGTTTTGCTGGGCCTCTCTAATTCCTGGAAGCTACAGACATTTTTCTTCATAGTGTTTTCATTGTTTTATGTGGTTACAATGGTAGGCAATAGTCTCATAGTCATCACAGTTATAGTTGACTGTCATCTACATTCCCCCATGTATTTCTTGCTTACAAATCTTTCACTCATTGATATGTCTCTTGCTTCCTTTGCCACTCCCAAGATGATTACAGATTACCTCACTGGACATAAAACTATCTCTTATGATGGTTGCATAACCCAGATATTTTTCTTACATCTTTTTACTGGTACTGAGATAATTTTACTCATGGCTATGTCCTTTGACAGGTATCTTGCAATATGCAAGCCTCTTACTTATGCTTCAATCATAAGTCCCCAAGTGTGTGTTATTCTTGTGGTGCTTTCTTGGGCTGTGGGAGTCATGCATTCAATGAGCCAGGTTATATTTGCACTGACCTTACCATTCTGTGGTCCCAATAAGATAGATAGCTTTTTCTGTGATCTCCCTGTGGTGTTTCAATTGGCATGTGTAAATACTAATGTTGTGGGTCTCTTTATGATCTCAACAAGTGGCATCATTGCCTTGTCCTGCTTTATTCTTTTATTCAATTCTTATGTTATCATCCTGGTTACTATCAAACATCATTCGTCAGGAGGATCATCCAAGGCCCTTTCCACTTGCACAGCTCATTTCATTGTTGTCTTCATGTTCTTTGGACCGTGCATCTTCATCTACATGTGGCCACTGAGCAACTTTCTGGTGGACAAAATCCTGTCAGTGTTTTATACTATCTTTACTCCTGTTCTGAACCCAATAATCTATACCTTGAGGAATAAAGAAGTTAAGAGAGCCATAAGGAAACTGAAGAATAGGTTTGCAAATTCTAATAAGGCAACTTCTCACCATTATTCTTAATTTTAAGGTCTAGTTCTAGTTCTAGTTTGTTTTAGTTTCCTAATAACTAAGTGCCACAGTTTTTGTATACACAGCATCGATCATAATTCTGTATTAGACTCTCGTGTCTAGTGTTATCATCATATTGTAATTGCCAAGAATTTATGAGGAAATAAGTGGCGTTTTTTTGTAAGTAATTTCATTTATATGTCCAAAGACATTTTACATGTCTGAAAAGCTTAGGGAAGATATTTCTTTAAAATTCAAATTGTAGTTATTAAAAAATAAGTCAAAAGTGTTTGTTTCAGTTAAGAGATTCAGTTGTCATAATGACTTACTTAAAATAAAGGAACAGAGTATGAAAAGGAAGGAAAGATAAACTGAAAACTAGGAGACCATGACATTTACATAGTGCTAGTATGTAATTAACTCAGTTATTCTTAAAATACAACAAAATAAAGCAAACTAGCAAACTATGTCAAATTGGCAGGATTTCCCAATTCCTGCTATCATCGTTAGGTTGTTTAGAACACACTGCAACCCATATATGACAAACTGAAAGCCCACGTGATCCTGTGCCATTCACACAATATCTATTGTGTTTTAGTACACTGTGTAGTCACTGTTTCAAATGACCTCTTTGAGGTTTTTCCTTTCGTTGGCTAACCTACTTTTCCAAGTATGATATTCTCATCCAGTGGCTGGCCCATCTTGATAACATACTCAAAACAAAAGAAATGAAGTGTCACCATACTTGCTTCTAAGAAGCAAAATAGACATTGCCGATGTATAATTAATGCATAGAAATAGGCTTTTTGGTAAGGCGCTTTTCTGCCAACCCAAAGGCACACTGTTTGAATCCACAAGCTGATCCATGGGAGAAAGATGGGCAACCGCCTCCCAGGCAACTTACTGCCTCTGAAAATCCACTGTATGATCAGTTATGAGTCGATTTCAACTCAAGATACATAACACAAACAGCAAGGTTAAATATATTAAAAAATAAATTTGGGTACAATACTGTTTGTAAGGTGTCTAAGCTATAATTACCACTTGTTAGAAATGGAACTTAAATTTTAAAGATTGTAAGAAAACTTAGGAATGCCATGCTTGACAAAATATTTTTAACAATATTTATAGCATATATTAAGTAATTCATTGCTACTTGGATTTTTCTAAGTGATATTTACAAAATATCATGCCTGAGAAATGGTCCACTTTGAACCATGACATTGAATCAAGTAGTTCTCGTCTGTATTACTGAGTAAATGGAGAAAAACCAAGATTGTGTATTCCCTAAATGTTTTTTTAGTCGAAAAAGGGAAAAGGAAATATTAAGTTTCAATTTTAAGCCAAATGATAAGACATAAGTGTTTTTTCATCTGTATGCTTATGATTTTCCCTTTTCATTAATGTATTAAGCAAATAAGAAAATAACTTTCTATGTTAGAAGTATGTGGCACTGTATTGTAAACTTAGGTATATGTTGCATAAAGATGTCAACAGTATTGACATGAGAGTTAAATGTGTATGTATCAGGAAAATGATAAAATAGTATAATTTATTTGAAATAAAAGTAAAATAAATTAATTTAGGTTATATGTGTGAATTTCTCTCTGTTGCAGTCACATGTTCTAAAGACCAATTATTGAGAAGGCATTTTATTCGTGTTATAGAAGTGTCAAAAATAATTCTTTTAAATAGCATATCTATCTTGAAAACATTTTGAAAATTAACAGTTTTTGTTCGGTTAAAATATAAAAATGTAAAAAAACCCCACAATATAAAAATGTAGAATCTTTTGTAAGAGGAGCCATCAATCTTCAGGATTTTTGTGAAGAATTCTAAGTCCTAAATTAAAAAAAAACACCCCAACTATGAAAAGCTGTAACTTATTAGGATACCACTTAATAAGGAAGGATAATGATATGAGTGCCTGGATTGATAGAATGGCTCTGAGTCTGAGAATAAACCAACACAAACCAAAATTAAAAACACCATCATGGACAATCTTTGAAGAATTTCCAGACTTTTCAACAAAAATTTTGAATGATGTTTGTTTCCAAAAATATTTAAGGGAAGTGTCAGAGTGCTATACAATGTAATGTGAGTGGCTTTATCATGAGAATAGTAAAATTTAAACTTAAAATTTAAATTTAATGTCACTCCCTTTGAACAGGTGTTGATGGTTTTTTCTTCATCAAGATTGCTTTAAGCACTGGAGAACCTGGGTGCACCCTTGGATGTAGGAACGAAAGTCAAATAATAAGTTATCATCTGAGTGGTGACTAATACCCCAATATGTAATCCAGGTCATGAATATAATCTTTTCTGGTCTAGGGCATGTCAAGGATGTGTTAGAGGTGGGTGCAACCTAGTAGAGTTTCTGCTGATCTCAGAGAAACATAGTCTGATCTACCTAGTTAGAGATGATGTTCTTGCCAGTCAAGTGGATGGGCATAGAAACAATACCTAGTAAGAAGTGACTAGGTTAAGAAGACAGACAGCCCCTGGGAACTTGAAGTGTTTACGTGTGGCCAAATGTGATAACGGATTATGTTGGGTATAGGTGTCCAGTAAGAGTGAAGTGCCACCATCAGAAGAGCTGCCCCTGTTAATCTGGCAGCTCATTGCAGGTCAGCTATTGTACAGTCCACAGGCTCTCAGAAGAATGTTTTGAGAGCATGTGGCTCCAAATACAGAATCCTGTGGACACAGTCTGAGGTAGAGCTGAGTGTGACAGGAGGGGTAGGGATAACAACAACTCACTGTCATCTTGTCAGAACCAACTCATAACTCACTCTCCAGAGGGCTTTCAGAGATTGTAAATAACACAATTGGAGACTGGCCATTTCTCTATAAAGATGGTAGATTCAAACTGCCTGCCATTGGGTTGGCAGTGCAACTTCTTATACATGAAGCCACCAGAACACAGGAGGTAAATCCTACTCTCTACCTGGTGTGGAGTGATGGGAAGGGGGAAGGTCAATTACTTGAGGAGAAGAAGGAAATTCATCCTGGATCTAGTACACTCACAACAGTCTTCTAAAAATCAAGGAGGATAAAGAAGAGTCTGTGTCACAAAGGAGATAATTTCTGATGTTGGATAGACCTTAGATAAAAGAGGACTCAGAAAGATGTTTGTTCACTGGAAAATGGGGGGAAAATTGTTTTTTCTCCCTTCCCCTGAATCTACAATGTGCTTTAATATGAATGATCAAAAAAGCACCTCAATACCAGTAGTAATAAAATTATCTAAGCATAAAAAAAGAAAGATGTTTGTTGTTGTTTTCAGATGTTTTCGAGTTGACTATGACTCATAACATCCCTATGAACAATAGGTCCGAATTTTACCCTTTTCTTTGAGCTGTGACAAGAGTATTGAATATATCATGGACTGGTAGGAGAAAAATAAGTTTGTCTTGGAGAAGGTGAAGTGAGGCTGCTCCTTGGAGGCAAGGATTCTGAAGCTTCATCTGACATACTTTGGACATATTGCAAGGCAGGATCAGTCCTTGGAGAGGGACATCATGCTTGGGAGGGTGGAGGGACAGTACATGAGAGGAAGATCTTTGATGAGATGGATTGATTCAATGACTGAAGTAATGGGGGCAGGTGTATCAGAGAAAATAATATTGGCACAGAATAGAGCAGGGTTTAAAATTGTTGTACATAAGGTCACTATGAGTCGCAAGTGACTTGATGGCCCACCACCACCACAACCCTATTCTGTGCTATCCTCAACATCTCTGATATAATGAAGCCCATTCTTACAATCACTGTGTTAACCTGTCCTTTTGAGAGTTCTTTTCTTTCTCACCAACTTTCTGCCTTTCTCAGCATGATATCTTTTTCCAAAAATTGGCTCCTACTGGTAACATGCTCAAAGTACATAAAATGAAGTTTCGCTCTCCATGCCTCTAAAGAAAATCCTGACTATATTTCCTCTGAGACAGATTTATTTATTCTTTTGGCAGTTCCTGAAATATTCAGTGCATTGCTCCAACACAATTCAAAGACATTAATTCTTCAGTCCTTTTTATTCATTGTCTCACTTTTAGCTGCACGGCAAGTAATTAAGAAGACCATGCCTTGAATTAGGTGTATCTTAGCCTTTAAAATGACATCATTGTTCTTTAACATACTGGGGAGGTGATTGATAGCATATTTCCCCAGTGCAAGATTTTCCTTGATTTTAGGACAGCTAGTACCAAAGAAATTTATTGTGGATCCAAGGAAGAGGAAATAATTGACTACTTCAATCTTTTTTTAATCTATGATGATGTTGCCTGTTAGCCCAGTAATGATGATTTTTGTTTTCTTGATGTTGAGGTCTTGATGACTCTTCGTGACCTTAGGAATAGTAGTATATCTCAGACTTGCTCTGTCTTGTGTCATTCTCATGATCTTTGTCATTCTCCAACTCATAAAGATAGTAATTTTGTTAAACCATCTCATTGAACAACTTCCTCTCTTCCACCAACTTACTACCTTTCCTAGCATGATGTGTCTCCATGTACTATTCCTTCTGAACATATGCTTAAAATAAGTGAGATGAACATTCACTATCCTTGCCTCTAAGAAGCATTCTAATTATACTTCTTTAAGGATAGATTTGTTTGCTCTTTCACAGTTTATGGCATATTCAATATTCATCATGAATACCACAATTTAAAGGCATTAATTATTCTTCTATCATCCTTATTCATTGTCCAACTTTCAGATGCATAAGAAGCAATTCCAAATGCCATGACACATGTCATGTGGGATCTTAGACACAGTGGATCATAGTTGATCAGGTAAAGGCCCAAATCATAAGGCTCAAAAACAGAGACAAAATGGGACCAAACTTAGAAGCCCTAGTCTATGATAAAAATAGACTTGTTAATAGAGTCAGAAATACATAACTAGAAGAAGAAAAAAAAATACATGAAAATTAAGTCCTTGTGTGCATAAAAATCTTTTTTCCAATAGGTTGTAAAGAAAACCTACACACTGGGGAAAAACATTTGGCCATGACA